ATGGGAATGCTTAACAAGTGATTTAGGCAGTCAAGTTCAACTTATTCCCTAATTTTTTGTTTATAACTGTCTTGGTTTAGACTAAGATTTGTTTCTTTCCTCAAAAAAAAAAAGTTGTAAAAATATTTTAATCTACATTCAGTGACCTTTTTTTTTTTTTTTTTTTTTTTTTTTAAGACTTCTTGTGATTTTACTTTACCTGTTTTCTCCAGAACACTTTTGTGACTGATTCACTGTTTCTGATATGGGATTTTGTGTACGTCGCATGCTGAAACAAGTAATCTCCTATCCTATCCAATACATCTGCTTCTAAGGTCTGAGGCTAGATGTTCATGACATAGACTATTGCATATTGGGTTTTTGCAAATCCAGGCTGTGAGTGGATTTGCAGCACTGTCACCTTCACTCCAAGTTTGGAATCCGTCCTTTCATAAACTCTGTATGATACCTTCTCTTATGTTCAATTTAGGTTGTACATATGTGGTTAGTAAAAATGCAGCTCAATTCCAATAAAATCTTTACCTTTTTGTGCAGGCCCAAGCCAATGCTAGAGCTGCTGCATTAAAAGAAGATCTAGAGCGAAAGAGAAGGGAAGCTGATGAAAGGGATAAACGAGCCTGGGAGGAGCATGTAAGACATGTTAAGAACTTTATTTTAACTTTATTTTGAAATAGATTCTCATTCATATAAATTTCTGTGAAAGAAAAAAAACAAAACAAAATAAAACAAAAAAGAAAAACCCTGCATGTGCACTGCTCGTGAACACGTAATGAAACACACATGTAGGTGAATTGGATCAAATCCATTGACTTCCACCTAACTTGAAGATGCACATGGTAACTGGGCCGGCTCTTGCACTGTCACAGTCCCAAAAGCTCATATGCAGAAACAACTTTGGGTTTGGCTGTTTGGCACTCCAAGGTTGTTGAACTCCAGATTATTTCACTGACATTAACTGACACTAGTTACTCACCAAGTCATTCTGCAGAAGCAAATCCTGTAGAACAGGGGTGTCCAGCCTGTGGTCCTCATGAGGTCCAAGAGGGCTATGCATGCATTTGGCATGGCAACCCTGGCGATGGGGAACAGACAAGCAGGGCCAAGGAATGTCTGGAAGGATGCCGGGGATGCAATGTTTTCAATAGCTCTGAGGGCACAAGGACTTGTGCCAGCCTAGTAAGTACGGCATGGCCGTTTCTAGGGGGGTGCCGGGGAGGGCTGCGCCCCCTGACCCCCCCCCCATTTAGAAGTCAGTTGTGTCCCCCCCTTCCTCTCAGCCCCTACCCCAAAAGCCCCCTGCTCACACCCCCCCCCCCCCTTACCCCTGACACTGTGCCTGGCCATCTCCCATCCCTGCACTGTACACATACAGCCTGGACACATAGCACATAGTTGAAATCCAATAATCTGTCTGACTTTTTCAGGCTTGGCAGGAGTAGGAGCTTCTTTTGGGCAACCATTTTACATGATGCATTTTGCTGTGATTGCGGCGCTATTCTACACTGCGTTGAGGTGCTATAAAGAGTGAGTGGCACCCAAACACTGGTGGTGCATTTTGCCACGATTGTTTTGCCAAAATCGTGAATTATGAATGGGGCCTTATTGTTGTTTTTTTTGTGTGGCCCAAGACAGTTACTCTTCTTCCAGAGTGGCCCTTGAGAGTCAAAACATTGGATACCCCTGCTGTAGAGCAAGCAGTGGGACAAGTGAGTGGAGGCAAGTATACCTGTGGGTCAAGTGTTCTATATTAATGAGGAAGGAGTAACCAGGTAAAAGTCAAACACACAAGATCCAAAATAGATTGGTTTTCTGAAATAAAACAACTATAACAATACTCCAATCTATAACCAAACTATCACAAAACAAAACACTGGTGCTTGGCAAAAAGAGACACCTGTGTAGCAGAACTCTGTTTCCCTCTGTTTCCTGTTTCCTCTTGTACCGAATTTATTGTAACTGTAATGTCTACCTTCATTTTTAAAGTGCTGCAAAAACTGTTGGCACTATATAACTCCTGTATAATAATAATAATAATATTCCCTGTGATAACAATAAAAGTAATTAAAAAAACAAGCAAAATGAAACAAAAGCAACAGTGTAAATAAGTAAATTAAAAAAAAAATTGCAAGCACCCCCGTGCTCATGCACAAAAGGCAAACTCCTACGTCATTCCCGCATGCACGCAAACAGCGATCAACCCATACATGTGAGGTATCACAGTAAACATCAGATCGAGGGCAATAATTCTAACACCAGACCCCCTATGTAAAACTAAATCTAAATTGGTAACCTGTACAGGCTTTTAAAGCGTCGCCTATAGATAATGAAATTGATGTCCTTTGTTGCCTTTGCATGCGTGTGTACATTTTTAAAGCATGACATGATTGGTATCTATTTACTCAGTATAACACCATATTTAAAATTTTACTAAACAATTGGGTATTATATTGTGTTTTTGTGCATTAAAATTCAAAAAAGTGTATTTTCCCCAAAAATTTTGTTTGAAAAACCGCTGCTCAAATACCGCGTGACATGAAAAAATTGCAGCACCCACCATTTTATTCTCTAGGGCTTTAAAAAATATTTAGTGTTTAGGGGTTCTCAGTAAGTTTCTACCAAAAAAAACCCTGATTTTTACATGTAAACAAAATGTATAAGAAAAAGCTTGGGCTTCAAGTCAAACCTCTTGCCCTCCTGAGGATTTACCCCCCTTCCTGACAGGCCATTTTTTGAGTTACGACGTTGCGTTACTTTAACTGACACTTGTGTGGTCATGCAACCCTGCACCCAAATGAAATTTACGTCCTTTTTTTTATCCCACAAATTGAGCTTTCATTCAGTGGTATTTGATTTCCTATGCATTTATTTTTTGCACTGCAAAAAAGGCTGACAATTTTGAGAAAAAAAAACTATATTTTTTACTTTTTGCTATTAAACATGTCCAGTAAAAAAAAATTAAAATCAAATTTCATCATAAATTTAGTCCAAAATGTATTCTGCTACATGTCTTTCTTAAAAAAAAAAAAAAAAAAAAAAAAAATACGTGTAAATTATTCGGTTTCTGTGAAAGTTTTATAGCGTTTACAAATGGCGGTATATATGGTGAATTTTCTTTCTTTTTTTTTCCTAGTAATGGCGGTGATCAGTGACATCCCCAGTGACACCAATACAGTGGTCAGTGCTAAAAAACACTGACACTGTACTAATGGCACTGGGCAGGAAGGGGTTAACATGAGGGGCGATCAAAGGGTTACCTGTGTGCTGGGTGTGTTTTACTATGTGGCAGTGTGTTTGTGCTTAACTGTAAGCACACTTCTTTGCACAGCCATGCAAAGCAGTGTGCACAAGCTGACAGGGAGGGGAACTGTTGTTTACAGGACCCGGTGATTGACAGCCTCGGCCGCGAATGGCGGTGCAGGTAGGAAATGTGCACGCCTCGCGCACGCCCCCTATCCAGAAATGCAAAATCACGTGTAATATATACGTGATTTTGCGCACCCGTGCCGCCCCGTAGCAGTATTTCTGCTATAAGGCGGACGGGAACTGGTTAAAGTGTTTTTTCAGATTTGGCCAGTGCAAACATTTGCTGTTTCCAGAAGACCTGCAGATCATGCAGAATTAAATATATGGTAAATAACAGGACCACATACAAGTGTTTGTACTTCCTGTTTGTTTAAAATCCTGATAGTCCTTAAAAGTCAAGTATGTACTCTGTATTGACATATACAAGACATACCTACAGACAGGAAGTATATACTACTGCTCTTGCCTTTTTTGGCGTAACAGTGGCAGTTTCTAATCAAGTTAAAAGAGAAGTGTAGCAAAAGCTTTTTTCCATACTGCACTTGTGAGTCACAGGAGTGCACTTTTGCTCTCCTGTGAACCAGAATCAGCAAACAGCGGGCTATACCCTGCTGTCGCTGATGTGGCAGAGCTGCTCCAGGCTCTGGAAAGTCTGCTTGACTGACAGCTGGCTCCACCTCTCAGAGTGCAGATCAAGAGCTGGAGCCAGCTGCAATCGCCCGCCCGCTGTCCTGCTTGGCGCCCTAGTCAGTCACCACATTCTGCTCCGAGCAGCTGAGCGATCAGTGGTTATGTGATTGCTCAGTTCTCGGTCTTAGAGCTGATGTGGGACAGCTGCAGCATCACAAAGATGCTGCAGCATAGATGTAAGTATATATTTTTATGCAAACTCCAAACTTCTCCTTTTAAAAATTAGATCTAGATAAATTTAGACAGTCTCTTTTTAGATCAGAGAGGACCACCAGAGCTGAGAGATACATCCCAATGAAACCAACTTTCTGATTTCTCAGCAAAATAAAGCATGGATACATGGATGGATGGATGGGGGCATTTGCTTTGAATCTTAAAAATAAATTAAATTAGTATTTATTAATATACAGGATTAATATAGTGCCAACAGTTTGCGCAGTGCTTTGCAATGTGAGGGCAAACAGTACAGTTACAATACAATTGAATAAAGGAGGAACCAGAGGGTCTTGCTGGTTAGAGCTTACAGTCTAAATGGGGAGGGTCAAGTGATACAAAAAGTAATAACTGTGGGGGATGAGCTGATGGAGAAAATACACGTACAGTTTTTAGCCAATTCAAGTCCGCACACTTTTACCCCCTTCCTGTCCAGGCCAATTTTCAGCTTTCAGTGGTATCACACTTTGACAATTGCACGGTCATACAACACTGTACCCATATTAATTTTTTAGCATTTTTTTGAGACAGATAAAACTTTAATTTGGTGGTATTTATTCACCGCTGGGATTTTTATTTTTTTTTTGCTATATAAATGAAAAATGTATTTTATTATTTGTTTTTTTTAACATACTGTCACCCTAGCAGTACAGTGTCACCATAGTGACACTGTACTACTTGTGGGGGGTGATTAAGATTTTTTATTTTTACACTGATTGCTTTTATACCCATAAAGGCTGTAAAAGCAATAATTTCTCCTTCTCTCTGGCTGCATTCTTGCAGCCATTGAGAAATACTGTGTGAGCTCTGATTGGTCACAGCTTGTCACATGGTACAAGGCTGTTGTGAATAGCCTTGTACCATGTGATCTCTGTGATCATTCACAGATCTCACACGTAGTAAGCAATGATGTCAGAAGTGACATCTTGCTTACTACTCTTCATGTGATCACTGATTGGCTAATCAGTGATCACATGATCAGGACCTCACACAGAGGTCCTGTACAATGATCGGTGTTCCGCTGTGTCCTCCGGACACTGGATCGCGGTGCTGCGCGTTCCTAGGGAGCGCGCACAAGCAGGGAGCTGGGAGGACATTTATAAACGGCCACTTGCTCTTGGTTAAGAGAGAAGATTTCAGGGATCTCCTAAAAGTGGACAGAGTAGGAGATAGTCAGACAAATTGGGGTCAGGAATTCCATAGGATGGGAGAGGCTCAGGAGAAGTCCTGCAGGCGAGCATGGGAGGAGGTGACAAGGGAACTAGAGAGCAGGAGGTTTTGGGAGGAACGAAGAGTGCGATTTTGGTTGGTATTTTGAGACTAGGTTAGTGATGTAGCTGGGGTCTGAGATGTGGATGGCTTTGTAAGTTGTATTATTTTGAATTTAATTTGTTGGGTGAGTGGCAGCCAATGGAGGGAGTGGCAGAGAGGAGTAGCAGACGACTTGGAACGGTTGGTAAGGTAGATGAGTCTGCCAGCAGCATTCATGATGGACTGTAGGGGTGTGATGCTCAGATACAGTGTAGTTCCACTTTAAGAAACAAAATGTTTATTTAGAAAATAATAAAACCAGTTGGTTTGTTACTGTGTTAGTTTGAATTTTATTCATTCTGATAAGATTGATGGTATATTTATTCTCTGTGTTAATTGCAACATTGTAATTTTCTTTTCAAATACATTGTTCGTTTTAGTCTTCTTTGTGTTTGCTTTAGGGGAGCAGTTTTAATGTCTTGCTGCAGCAATATCACCAATTTTTCACTTCCCTAGAGGTTTGCTTGGTAGCGTTTTCATTATAGTGAGCAGTAAAGTGAGGGACATTGACACTATGGCCTCATTTTATACTCCAGAAGCAGACAGAAATAAACCTGTCAGTACAGCAGGTCACATTCCTTCTGTACACCACAATGGCCTCATTGACATGAATGTAGTCTTGTTGACTTTTATTACTCCCCTTATACACATTAATTAAGGGGCAAAACTGCACTTAATAAAAAACACCTTATAAGCTGTGTATTTCTTGTGACCTTTTGCACACCTCCAAACAAAAGAAAGTTACACTTCCTCTCATTTAGTTTGACTAAAAAGGAGGTTTGCAGGTTTGGGTAAAATATTTGTTTTGTGACAGCTTAGTGTTTCACTTTACAAGTCTTATGCCTAGTATACACAGTGAGAAAATCGAACAAAAGATTATCTGGTTTTTTTTTTGTTTTTTTGTGTTTGTTTTTCTGCTAGTCTTGTATCAATAACGAATAGGTTACTACAGATATGAAAATTCTTGTGCAACAGAATACAACTTCCCACGTACATAGGTTCTAAGGTGTGATCGGAAGAGATGTAATGTACGTGTGACCCCTCTTCTATCCATTCCTAGGGCAATCAACATGGTAACAAAGGGGTTTTAATATTTATTATAAAAAGCAAATTGTGATTTTTTTTTTTTTTTTTCATATAACATAACATTGTTTGTATTGCACAATATATGTTTTAATGGCCCCTTTCTTCTTCCACTTAATTCTTTTTGTTTCCGATCATGGACTGTCTTCATCCCCCAAATCCTATACTAATCACAAATTGTTAGCTCTGTTACCAAATGAGAACAATTTTCAACAAATTCATCTGAATTGTCATGATCGGTCATCAGAAGCTGTGTACTAACAATTAGATTATCAAACGATTACTCTGAAAGTGGGTATTTTCATCTGATTTTTCTCATTGTGTATACCAGGCATAAATGTGCACTGGTGTTTAAAACCCAAGTTTATGCTTGAATGTTTAGGATCAAACTGCAAAGCAAAATTGAATGCATAATACATAGTAGCTACCGTATTTTCCGGCGTATAAGACGACTGGGCGTATAAGACGACCCCCCTACTTTTCCTGTTAAAATGTAGTGTTTGGGCTATACTCGCCGTATAAGACTACCCCTCTTCCAATGCACACCAGTGGGAAGAATCGTGCCCCATCATTAGTATCAGTGGGAGGAATAGTGCCCAGTCATTGGTGTCAGTGGGAGGAATAGCACCCCATCATTGGTGTCAGTGGGAGGAATAGTGTCCCATCATTGTTGTCAGTCAGTGGGAGGAATAGCACCCCATCATTGGTGTCAGTGGGAGGAATAGCACCCCATCATTGGCGTCAGTGGGAGGAATCGTGCCCCATCATTGGTGTCAGTATGAGGAATCGTGCCCCATCATTGGTGTCAGTGGGAGGAATAGTGTCCCATCATTGGTGTCAGTGGGGGGTGGAATAGTGCCCCATCATTGGTGTCAGTGGGGGGGGGGGGGGGGATAGTGTCCCATCATTGGTGTCAGTGGGGGGGGGGGGGGGAATAGTGTCCCATCGTCGGTGTCAGTGGGAGGAATAATGCCCCATCATTGGTATCAGTGACACCAATGATGGGGCACTATTCCTCCCACTGACACTTGCTGACCCCTGTTCAGTATGGTGCTGCTGCAGCAAAGCATATATGGATGCAGCAGCACCTGTGCACGGCACACTTACCTTCACTTGATTTTCGCGGGGCCGCTCGGCTCGCTCGGCCCCCTCCTCCCCGGTGATTGGCCGCCTGTGTGCCTTTCCTGAGCTACAGTTCTGGCGGCCAATCACCGGTGAGGAGGCGGAGCCGAGCAGCCGCACGAACATCCAGTGGCCGAACTGAAGGAAGGAGCAGCCGCGCTTCCTGGACCGTATCGTCGTGGGACCGGAGCCAGGTAAGAAACAGAAGCCCCTGCCCACCCCTGTACTTAGTTTCACTTCCGTTGGAAGGGGGGGCGGCGGCAGCACCGCACCGCCCCCCTAAAAAGTGTCAGCATGCCGTAACCGGCGTATAAGACGACCCCCGACTTTTGAGAAGATTTTCAAGGGTCAAAAAGTCGTCTTATACGCCGGAAAATACGGTACATTGTTTAATATGCTATGAAGTGTGCATAGAGATTACATTTTCTGATTTCACTTCAGAAAAGGGGCTTCCCTTTTTGTCTCAATGAGGTGGTCTTATTACAACTCAAACTGGGAGATTGTGAACCAATTAGGTGTGCTGCACACTAATGTGCTAATGTAGATTTTGCTGACAGGTGGAGTGCTGTATAATACTGAGTTGAACTTTTTGGTCTGCCAATGCTCTTTCATTATCCAGTGTCAGGCTGGGGGCAGAGAAGCGGGACCAAGCATTACTGCTTAACTGAAGCAAAGAAGAAGTCCGGTCACCAGCTTAACTCTTCAGCCTGTTAGTGATGTATGTATGTGTGTGTGTATATGTATATGTGTGTGTGTGTGTGTGTGTGTATATATATATATATATATATATTTATTTATTTATATCAGCGCTTTTACACATATATATTGAGCATTCACATCAGTCCCTAACCCTCAAGGAGTGTACAATCTAAGGTCCCTAACTTACATTCATACATACATATATTAGGGCCAATTTAGACAGGATCCAATTAACCTACCAGCATGTCTTTGGAGTGTGGGGAGGAAACCGGAGTACCCGGAGGAAACCCACACAAGCACAGGGAGAACATGCAAACTCCATGCAGGAGGCGCCAAATGTAAAATTAGATATAAAAACTAGATAAATGCAGGAATACAAAGAATATAAAATTGTAAAAAATTATCTAAATTACATATAATGAGCTCAGAATTAAGGAAATAATTATAATAATAAGCCATAAATCTCCAAGGCTTTAAATTAATACTTAATAAAATGTTATAAATAAGTGTTAATATATGAACTAAATATTGTCATAATAAAAATGAAATATAATAAAATTAAATAGAAAACATTTAAAAGATACCAACTAATATGAATAATAGACCTAAAACATTCTATAATATAAGGCACTGGGAAATTGACAAATATATGTCAGTTCATGTAATTGTGTAAACGCAAGGGGTATAAAAGATATATATATATGTGGCAAATTCTAACATCGTGGTCTTATAAGACTTAACTGTTGTCTATAAAGCAGTTAATATCTAGGTCAATGTTTAAACCATTTGGAGATAAGGACCGTAATTCTATAATCCAACATTGACACAGCCCTGTGTTTATGTCCACTCCTCCAATGAGGTTTAATAAGATCAGTGCCTATAAATTTTTAGACATGTAGGGTCCCTATGATGAAAATCCCTGAAATGTTTGGAGAGAGAATGCTCTTTGAAGCCTTTCTTTATGTTATATATATGCTCTCTGAGCCTGCTTCTTAATCTCCTTGTAATTCTTCCCACATATTGTTTTTTGCATGGGCATTCTAAAAGGTAAACCACATGCGTACTATAACACGTGATTAGTGATTCAATGTTGTACATTTTCCCTGATATATTAGATTCAAAATTCTTAGTCATTTTCTTATGGATAGCCATTACATTGACAGATCATACATCTGTTACAGGGGTAAAATCCTTTCATACCAAAGGAAAAAGACGTGTGTTTAGGTGGATACACAATATTGGGTGCCAGCGTATGTCTTAAAGAGGGTAAACCCTCTGTATTTGCTCTCGTGAAGTCTACTCTTGATTGTAGATTTTGACAATGATACGCTCACCTCTTGGAGAATGTCCTTCAGTTATCTGGATGTTGTGAATGGGTTTTCTTTACCATAGAGAGGATCCTGCGATCACCCACCACTGTTGTCTTCTGTGGACGTCCATGCCTTTTTATGTTGTTGAGCTCACCAGTGCATTCTTCTTTCCTCAGAATGTACCAAACTGTTGATTTGGCCACTCCTAATGTTGCTGCTATCTCTCTGATGGATTGGTTTAGTTTTTGAAGCCTTACAATGGCCTGTTTCACTTGCATGGACATTTCCTTTGAATGCATGATGTAGGTTTACAGCAATAGATTCCAAATGCAAATACCACACTTTGAATCAACTCCAGACCTTTTACCTGCTTAATTGATGAAGAAATAACAAAGGAGTAGCCCACACCTGGACATGAAACAGCTTTTGATTCAATTGTCCAATTACTTTTGGTCCCTTGAAAAAGAGGAGGTGGCTACTCTTGAGAGCTGTAACTCCTAAACCCTTCCTCCAATTTGGATGTACATACCCTCAAATTAAACCTGAGAGTGTGCACTTTCAGCCCATATCCATTATATAGCTATAGCTTGAATATGTTTTGGTAAATACCTGAAAATAATCTAAAATTGTGAATTGTTCCTGTGTCCAAATATACAGGTGAAACTCGAAAAATTAGAATATTGTGCAAAAGTTCATTTATTTCAGTAATGCAACTTAAAAGGTGAAACTAATATATGAGACTCATTACATGCAAAGCAAGATAGTTCAAGCCATGATTTGTCATAATTGTGATGATTATGGCTTACAACTCATGAAAACCCCAAATCCACAATCTCAGAAAATTAGACTATTACATGCAATCAATAGAACAAGGAATGTACATAGAACAATATCGGACCTCTGAAAAGTATAAGCATGCATATGTACTCAGTACTTGGTTTTTGGGCCCCTTTTGCAGCAATTACTGCCTCAATGCAGCGTGGCATGGAAGCTATCAGCCTGTGGCACTGCTGAGGTGTTATGGAAGACCAGGATGCTTCAATAGCGGCCTTCAGCTCTTCTGCATTGTTCGGTCTCATGTCTCTCATCTTTCTCTTGGCAATGCCCCATAGATTCTCTATGGGGTTCAGGTCAGGCGAGTTTGCTGGCCAATCAAGCACAGTAATCCCACGGTCATTGAACCAGGTTTTGGTGCTTTTGCAGTGTGGGCAGGTGCCAAGTCCTGCTGGAAAATGAAGTCAGCATCCCCATAAAGCTCGTCTGCGGAAGGAAGCATGAAGTGCTCCAAAATCTCCTGGTAGACGGCGGAGTTGACCCTGGACTTAATGAAGCACAATGGACCAACACCAACAGATGACACGGCTCCCCAAATCAACACAGATTGTGGAAACTTCACATTGGACTTCAAGTATCTTGCAGTGTGTGCCTCTCCATTCTTCCTCCATACTCTGGGTCCTTGGTTTCCAAATGAGATGCAAAAGTTGCTCTCATCAGAAAAGAGGACTTTGGACCACTGAGCAACAGACCAGGTCTGTTTTTCTTTAGCCCAGGTAAGACGCTTCTGATGTTTGTTGTTCAGGAGCAGCTTGACATTTGAAGCCCATGTCCAGGATCTGTCTGTGTGTGGTGGCTCTTGATGCACTGACTCCAGCCTCAGTCCACTCCTTGTGAAAGTCCCCAACACTTTTGAATGGCCTGTTCCTGACAATCCTCTCCAGGCTGCGGTCATCCCTGCTGCTTGTGCACCTTTTTCTTCTACACTTTTCTCTTTAACATAACTTTCTTTTAATGTGCTTTGATACAGCACTTTGGGAACATTCAACTTCTTTTGCAATCACCTTTTGAGGCTTTCCCTCCTTATGGAGGGTGCCAAGGATGGTTTTCTGCACAACTGTCAGGTCAGCAGTCTTTCCCATGATTGTGATTCCTACTGAACCAGACTGAGAGACCATTTAAAGGCTCAGGAACCCTTTGCAGGTGTTATGGCTTAATTAGCTGATAAGAGTGGGACACTTTGAGCCGAGAACATTGCACCTTTTCACAATATTCTAATTTTCTGAGATTGTGGATTTGGGGTTTTCATGAGCTGTAAGCCATAATCATCACAATTATGACAAATCACGGCTTGAACTAGCTTGCTTTGCATATAATGAGTCTACCTCTTATTAGTTTCACCTTTTAAGTTGCATTACTGAAATAAATGAACTTTTGCACAATATTCTAATTTTTCAAGTTTCACCTGTATACAGACCTAACTGTATATATGTGTGTGTGTATGTATAGATAGATAGATAGATAGATAGATATAGATATACCGTATATAGATATAAAATTATAATATGTGTGTCAGGGCTATGTACATATAAGGTCTGGATAAAGAGAAATGCATGACATTTGGCAGCGAAAACAGCTCCCATATACTGTATAAAACCTTGCAGTTTTTGCCCACTTTTGTTTTCTTTTGTAATGCTACAGTATAGCTAAACTGCTGATTTATAAATCCAGCCCTTAGTGTTGATGGTTGTATGTAATATACTGGGGGTACATTCTAGCTTAACCACACATTTATAACATAACAGGTACAGTAAACTATAGAGAGCCTGTAACTTATCACAAACTATACCTGTAAATTATTTTTATTTTGTGAAAGAATGAACCCCATACTGACAAGGGAATACAGTATGTTGCATAATGTTTAATTGTGCTGTAAAAAGCTGCAGTGTACTATTTAGGTAACTCCTTGGCTTTGTGCTTGGCGCTTTTGCCTTGCTACTCTGTGTTCTGGATTTTTGTCCTGCCCAGAATACCATCTCGTTGTTTGTATGTTTGCTCAGTGTCTGCATTGGTCTCCTCTGGTTGCTCTGATTTCTTACCACAATGCCAAAATATACTGCTAAATTAATTTACTTTCATTCACAAGTCTCCTTAGAAGTATATAAGTGTGGTACAGACTTTGGAACGTAAGTTTCTTTAACCACTTCTAGTCTGGTCACTTTTACCCCCTTCCTGTCCAGGCCAATTTTCAGCTTTCAGCGCTATCTCACTTTGACAATTGCGCGGTCATGCAACACTATACCCATATGAATTTTTTTTGCATTTTTTTGAGACAGATAAAACTTTATTTTGGTGGTATTTATTCACCACTGGGATTTTAATTTTTTTTTGCTATGTAAATGACAAAGTCTAAAAATTTTGAAAAAAGTGTTTTCTTATAAAATTTTGCAAATAAATAATATTTCATCATAAATCTTGGCCAAAATTTATTTCGTTATCTTTTTAGTAAAAAAATAACCCAAATTACTTTATAACCAAAAATTATAATTTTTAAACTATTAGTTTTTTTACATTTTTTTTTTTTTTTTATATTGTTTGTTTTTTTTTTTTTACATACTGTCACCCTAGCAGTACAGTGTCACCATGGTGACACTGTACTACTTGTGGGGGGTGATGAATACATATATATATTTTTTTTTTTTTACACTGATTGCTTTTACACCCATAAAGGCTGTAAAAGCAATTATTTCTCCTTCTCTCTAGCTACATTCTTGCAGCCATTGAGAACTACTGTGTGAGCTGTGATTGGTCACAGCTTGTCACATGGTACAAGGCTGTTGTGAATAGCCTTGTACAATGTGACCTATGTGATCATTCACAGATTTCACACGTAGTAAGCAATGATGTCAGAAGTTACATCTTGCTTACTATTCATGTGATCACTGATTGGCCAGTCAGTGATCACATGATTGGGACCTCTGTGCGAGGTCCCGTCCGGCGATCGGTGTTCCACTGTGTCCGGAGGACACAGCGGGCACCGGATCGCGGTGCTGCGTGCTTCCAGGGAGCGGCGACACAAGCAGGTTTCGGGGAGGCCGTTTATAAACAGCCACCCGACCCTGCACTGCCACCGTCCGGCCATTTATATACAACGGCCCGACGGGAGGTGGTTAATAGATGGAGACTGCTATAAATGGATTTATATTTGTTTCTTGTCCATTGAGGGACACAGGAGGTCTTAAGCCTGGTTTATACTGCCACCTACAAGAGGATTGGACTCTGACCAAAAAAAAAAAAAACAACAAAAAAAAAAAAAAACTGTAGGCCCTCCCAAGATAACCCAAGTGCAAGTGTCCTAGAAGGTGGACATCTTTCCTACATCTTTGTTGTATTTGTAATAACTGATTTTCTGCTTGCACCCTTTTGGCTTCTCATCTGCATCTTGTTTATTTACCAAGGTTCTGGCCCTGTACTAGCCTTGCTGCATTCTCTTGGCATCCCCATTGTGGGATAAATAGGTTACTTTCTGTTGCAGGAACAGGCAACATAGGCTCTTTCAGACAAAGTGAAATTGACTTTCCAGGAGTTAGTGATTGGATGAATCCTGACTCTTCAGAAATCATTGTTAGAACTCATCAGGACTCATCTTTTGGAGTATCTGAATCTAGTTATAGACACATCTCAGGCCAGAATGTTTCTTCCACAGGAGAACCTTCAGACACTCCAGCCTCATATTTGTACTCTCCAGTCCAGGAATCGTCCAACCCTCTGCATTTGCAAGAGAATCCTAGTGTAATATTTACTCCTGTACAAGAGCTCAGATAATCTAGCTAGCTAGTGTTTCAGATCCCTTTCCCAAGGGCAAGCAAGCCTTACTGGTACTTTGTTGCCCCAGGATATATTACACAATGCTTTATTCTCTGAACTGGTGACACAAAAGGCTCAGCAACAGAAAAACTAAGAGCACCTGTGGTATGGGAGATATTGATGTCTGCAGAGGATGGTAAAGACTGGTGTTTTGGCAGGATCTTGTTTAGGTGTTGGCCCAGGCCGTGGGGAAGAGACTTGATCAGTAAGTAGGCAAGTGCCTGGCCTGCGTGGCAGGCAGATATATGGTCAATTAAATAGGTAGGTGGGCAGTCTAGGTGGCAGGCAAAGACGTGCTCTGTAAACAGGAAAAAATAGTCAATCCAGGTACCAGGCAGAGATAACTTTACTAAACAGACAAGAGTCTGTCGAGGTGGCATGGCAGAAAAGGTGGTCAATAATAGGCAGAGCTCAATCCGGGCAGCAATCAGAGACGTGGTCAGGAACAGGCTAGGATCGATACACAGAGCAGGCAGAAAGATTCAGGCAGGGCAGCTAGTGAGGCACATGGGTAAATCTATCACATTACTCAGACACAGGCTAGGGAGATTTATATCAGGTACTTACAGAACATAGGCCAGTGGATGGCTAGCAGGGAGGACTCAATTGCAGGTGTTGCCTGACAACAGAATGCCTGGAGGAGCCCAAGGTTCAGCCATGCCACCCAGGTAACAGTGGATAGTGCAGTCTGTTGGTAGAGAGGCATTGGGAAGTTAGCTTAGCGGCATGGGACTCCGCAGCGGGGCCCCCAAACAAGGTAAGTCTTTACAGCTAGGTCTGATGTTAGCTTCTTTTGAGCCAGTCCCATTTGCTCATTTTCACTTAGGCCCCTACAACACAACATTTAGTTGTTGTGGGATGAGTTGACCCAGTCTCTGGGTGGATTTATTTGTCTATCACTGAGGACCAGGTTTCTCCTGGCTTGGTGGCTCAGATGTCAGGGAAGTCTTGCCTCCCGATCAACATTACGGAACTAGGGGTGATTTGGTTGTCTCTACAGCATTGGACCAATGTCAATATCACAGCGGTGGCATACAACAATTATCAGAGAGGTATCAGAAGTCTTGTGAGATATCTCATTCCAGTCTTATCAGCTGTACATTCCAGGTGTAGATAATTGGCTGGCAGGCAGACTTCCTCAGCTGGCAGCACCTGGACCCCAGAGAATGGTGCCTACACCTGGAGGTGTTCCAGGACCTATGTCGCAGGAACAGAATGCCAGATGTGGACCTCCTGGCCCCCAGGTTTAAGAGGAATGGAAAGGTTTGTTTCCAGTTTCAGGGACATTTAGTAGCCTTGTGGCTCCATGGGAATGAGTACACCCAGATCTTTGCCTTCTCTCTCCCCTGAAACATTTTTCTCATCTGCTTCACAGGATCAAAATAGAGGGCATTTGGGTGATCCTCTTTGCTCCAGGCTGGCCCAAGCAGATGTGGTACACCAACTGGGTAAAATTCTTGGCATACACTCCGTGGGCTCTTCCAGTAGTCTGGATCTTCTGTTCCAATGAATTGATTTGCCATCCTGCTTCAAAATAGCTGGCTTTAACATTATAGCTATTGAAAACTAGGTACTGAAGAAAAACGTGTCTCAAAACATTCAACATGAAAAGTTAATTTCAGTTCTACTGAGGTATCAGATTCGCAGTCAGAAACCTCTGACTCTGCAGATTCTAGGGTGTCATCCACCTCTAGAGCTTCAGCCAGCTCGGTGTTTGCTCATGAAGGGGCAAAAAATGGAACACTTTTAGTTATTACACCCCAGAAAAAACACCAAGAAGAAAAAGGAGAAAAACAGAGGAAATGAAGACGAATGTTGAAGTCAGGAGGAAGATACCAGAAAATATCCAGTAAGAAAAAAAAAACTAAATCAATATTCCAATGTGGTTAATTTATCAGGCGTTAATCTTGACAAACATGAATTGTCATTGCTTTCCCAAAGACTCTCCTTCTCACCCACTCACCATTTTGATTTATTTTCAACTTGACTTGATGTTAACAGATTTGTCAGGAAACTACTCCCGAGAAAGCATTTTGGATAGGAAAGTGGAGATGAATTACCACAGGCAACCAGTAACATAGTTGATGTTAATGATTCTTGTGTTGATGAGACTTCAATCTTTTTCTCTGATTTATGTAGCAAATTCAATTTGGAGCAATTGCAAAGAGAATCTGCTGGAGGTTTATATGGTGTAGACAGGAGCATTCTTATCTCGGGTGATATTTCTACACGACTCCTGCTAGGAGTGCTGCTGTGGAGGTCTTTCAGTCTGTGGTAGAAAACAAGTTGGTATATTTAAAGAATAGGAGAGTGAGCCCAGGTTCTTCCAATATTACAGAACAGGAAGAAAAAGCGTTAGAACATCTTAAAAAATCTAAAGATTTTTTAACATGTAAACATGTTGGGTGGCTGATAAAGGGGGAACTGTTGTGATATTAACTAAGAATCATTATTCCACAGAAGCTTTGTGACAACTTAATGGCCGTTCCACCTGTCAGCTGCTCAAATCTGACCCCACTAAATGCTTCAGTTTTAAGTTAGAGGACTTGGTTAATTTGGCTAAAACCATGGGGATTGTAAGTTCTAGAACTGCGGACCAACTTTTGGTATATAATCCAGTCATGTCTGTTTTTTTATTTTCTGCCCTAAATACATAAACTGGGGGAGCCAATGCATGGCCGCATGATTGTGGCGAGCATTGGCTCTCTCTTGGAGCATCTAGATGATTGGGTGGATGATATCTCCAACCATTGGTACATCGGCTACCAGGATATATTAAAGAGACGGGTACAGTGCTCTTACACATCCAAAAGAGTAATTGGACTCCCAGTTTTCTTATGCATTACATTGGATGTGAGAGCGCTGTGTTTGTGCATTCCCCCCCATTTAGCTTTACAGGCTAGCAAATACCATCTTGGACAATACAGCTCTTACTCTAAGGAGTTACAGGAGTATTTACTTCAATGTATTGAATATCTTTTAAAGCAGAATTTTTTTCTGTTGATGGTTCTTATTATATACAATCATGTGGAGCATCAATGGGAGCAAAGTTTTCTCTTGCTATGGAGAATGTATATATGGAATGGTGGGAAGAGCATTTTCTTTTTTACGCATCCAAATCCATTTTCCAAGCATGTGCACTGGTTTGTTCGGTATATAGATGACCTGCTGGTAGTTTGGGAGGTGACACCATCACACTTAAAGAATTTGTAGAGTATTTGAATAATAATTACAATCTCCAATTCACATGCAATCATCATGCCACTTCTCTAAACTTTTTATATGTCACTCTTCAGTGTAATCCTGAGGTGGGGTTGGTTACTTCAACTACTTTTCAGAAGCCCTATGCAGGGGATACTACGTTACTTGGCACAAGTTGTCATACCTCCCACACCATTTAGGCAATACCAGTAGGGGAGTTCATCCGAGCATGCAGGAATTGCTCGACGGAAGATCGCTTTGATAGTGTGGAATTATAAAAGCCAGACTTGTGGATAGAGGCTTTCCCATCTGGAGCGTAGAGCGAAGTATGAGAATCGCTAAAGAGAGAGAATGGAGTCGCCTTTTAAGAAAGAATAGTGTCCAGGAAAGGAGTGGAGGGAGTTCTATTAGGAAGAGAAGTTATGAAAGGAATAAACATAAATTTGCCACTACTTTCTCAAAAGAATATCATTGCATAATTAACATTGTAAAAAGAACTCTTCCAGTTTTGTATTCGGGAAGAGAATTACATACTGTATTTGAACAAGGCTGTAGATTTTCAAACTGTAGAGCGCCCACCTTGGGCTCTCTCCTTTCCCCAAACCTGCTCAGCTTTAGTTCCACTTTGCTATCTTGCTTAGGTTCTTATGCCTGTGGTTTAAAGATATGTAAATATTGTTAATTGAACCTGTGTACCAAAACTTTTGATTCGTTGGTCACAGGTGAAAGCTTCAAAATTAAACAACATGTAATGTAAGTAAATACTTATGGTGTTTACCTCATTTACTGCACCACATGTTGTGTGCAGTATGAGGCATGTAGCATTCGTTGCCCCAAAACCCACATTGGAGAACAGTTTTGCAACTTTGTAAATTTACAAGCAAAGCAGATATCAAGTGTCTCACGACATTTTAGAGATGCACGGGGAGGGGGGGGGGGGGGGGGGGGGGGGGGGGGGGGGGGGAGTACTACATAATTTCGCTTTTGTGGAATAGTCCATGCACTTGCTAGAGGTGGTGATGGCTATCACAAGCTTTTACATAGGGAGGCATGGTGGATTCATAGATTACAGACCCAGGTGCCCTGAGGGTTGAACCTCAGGTG